AGGAATCAATTGTTGTTTTGGGAGAAACCATGAGGATAGTAAGATCATAAAGGAGTAGGGTTTTTGGGAACCATATTTGTTTGAACAGATTGACTATATGATAGGAAGGTGCACAATCTGTCTGAAAAATAATGTTTACAGAGGGTGACTGTTATTCTTGGTTACATTCCTACACCAAGAGATTTCAAACTAGGCTAAAAGATGTTCGATCGTTTGCCAAGATGTTCGATCGTTTGTTCGATCGTTTGCCAAGTCAGAAGCAGGTGGGGATTACCCGATCACATATTCTAAAATTTGGTGGGAGAGGAATTTGTGAATGAATCAGTGAAATGGTTTTTGAAAAAGTTAGGAGAAAAAGTCAGATTAAAAAGTTAAGAAAACTAGGGTTGAAGGAACTCTAGGACAGTAAGCTAAGTTTCAATGTTAGTAGGAAGAGAGAGTGACACTAGTGGTGACAGATGGAAATACAAGTCAAGAGTTCAGAGTCTTAGGGAGAATGGATGAAGTAACAACAAGGACATCAACACTTCAGCCTATTATAACAACAGTGAGAAGCAATTTAACTCTTTCAACATTGATAGTTATTAAAGCCATAAATATATTGCATTTGATTACAAGGGAGCAGATAGCTCCAGCACCAATTTTAGAGGAATTTCATAGTCTGGGAAGCCTATCATTGGAGGATAAGTCTAAGAGAGAAGTGGGGATTTTTCCATGGTATGGTGTAAAATTTGGGAAGATCATATTGATAATATTAGCTATACTTTGATTCCAGATAGTTCAGATAATATCACTAGTGTTATAGATGCATTGAAGAATATAAGGGATGCATTTGGTAGATCTGAAGGAGCTGGATGGTCAGCGAAGTCTTGGTTGCAAGATCAGTTAGGCCCAGTGGGAGCAGTGATGGTTCAGATTTTAATAGCAGCTTTGATGGCACTGTGTGTGATGTTTTGCTTTTGTAATTTGTTACTGACCTTTGAGAAGGCTATGATATTGAGATGGGTTGGAGTTGTGATGCCTGGAGACAACACTCAGATGCCGTTGTTGACTGTTACTGATCTGGATGAAGATGGACAAGTGGGACTGGATGGAGTATTGATGGATAAATATCCATTTTGATTATTTGATAATTTTTCTAATGTTTTTCAATATTAGTGTGATTTTAGTATTTTGTTATGAATCAAAGGGGGGAAATAGGATAATGTGATTCATTTATCATTTATATATCATTTTATATTCTTAGTTGATATTGATGTTTTAATTTGAATGTGTTGTTTTGCAAAAGATACTGTTTGGTCTTTTCTTTTCTTCCAGAAGCATTTGGGGGAATATGTAGAGATTGAAATACTCAAACAAGGACAATATGAAGGGACAATATGAAAGGAGAATATGGAGGGAACTGGAGGAGATGGAACAAGGAAGGTGTGGAAATGTTCCAATTCCATCATCGAAGATGCATTGGAAGTCGAGACTGCTGAGGAGATGAAGTGTAGTGGACTACATTCCGGTGTCTGCAATGAAATATAGACATATTTGCATGTGTAATATATAATTTGTGTCATATTCTTAGGTATTAATTTTTGTAGAATGATATTTGATGTTATTGGATACATGTGGGGATCTTAGATGTTTTTGTTTATTTCGTGGAAGCTTAGGGACATGGAGTCTAGGCAGGGATAGAGATAATCCACCGTAGGGTCCGATGGGTCGACCAGCCTGAGAGTGGACATTTTGGATAGTATTTTGTTTGCTGGGGCTTTCATGTGTATTTAATTGCATCATAGTTTCAAATGCATTGATAAAGATTTATGAATTGATCTGGAGTACCTAGGTGGTTGCCTGGGGCAGAGGGGCCGTGAGAGAATTTTACTGTCTTGATTGATGGATGGATATTTGGAAAGAAGGCTGCCAGACAGGTTTTTCCGCTCTCACACTTCATAAAGATTTGTTCATATTTCATAGTGATGTATTCACACTTCATAAAGATTTGTTCATATTTCATAGAAAGGTATTTACACTCAAGAGAAAAGTGGTTTTTGGTTTATTGTTAAAGATACTCAATAAGATAAATTGTTACTTGTCATAATCCTATTCTTTTTGTTTTCGAGACATTTAGTTAGTCTCGAAGGGGGGAAATATGTAGTGTATTAAGATTATGACTTTGCTAATGTTTTCAAGTGGAACCTGAGAGGATGTTTATTTAGTTTCAGAAGGAGTCGTTTTAGAGTGACGCCCTATAGAAGAGAGGGAGTGTGTGTTGTAGACAGGGGATTGGACAGTAGAGGGAGCCACCCATATTTTGGAGAATATTGTAAGTACTGGGTTTAAACAAAGAAGAGCAGAGCGGACATTGTAATTTGGAAAACACTGCTCTCCGGGTGATCATGACATCTGTAAACTTATGCTGAAATCTTGTGATATGAATAAAACTTATGATCAAAGTTCAGTATAAGCGGACTCCTTTGTTTAACAGCAATAATTAGCAACATTGACTCGACACTACAACTGCCTCGCCTGGTTCACCAACTACTTCTCAGATAGAGTTCAGTGTGTCAAATCGGAGGGCCTGTTGTCTGGACCTATGGCAGTCTCTATGGGGGTGCCACAGGGTTCAATTCTTGGGCCGACTCTTTTCTCTGTGTATATCAATGACGTCGCTCTTGCTGCTGGTGACTCTCAGATCCACCTCTACGCAGACGACACCATTTTGTATACATCTGGCCCTTCATTGGACACTGTGTTAACAAACCTCCAAACGAGCTTCAATGCCATACAACACTCCTTCAGTAGCCTCCAACTGCTCTTAAACACTAGTAAAACTAAATGCATGCTCTTCAATCGAACGCTGCTGGCACCCGCCCACCCGACTAGAATCACCACTCTCGACGGGTCTGACCTAGAGTATGTGGACAACTACAAATACCTAGGTGTCTGGTTAGACTGTAAACTCTCCTTCCAGACTCACATTAAGAATCTCCAATCCAAAGTTAAATCTAGAATCGGCTTCCTATTTCGCAACAAAGCCTCCTTCACTCATGCTGCCAAACATGCCCTCGTAAAACTGACTATCCTACCGATCCTTGACTTCGGCGATGTCATTTACAAAATAGCCTCCAACACTCTACTCAGCAAATTGGATGTAGTCTATCACAGTGCCATCCGTTTTGTCTCCAAAGCCCCATACACTACCCACCACTGTGACCTGTACGCTCTTGTTGGCTGGTCCTCACTACATGTTCGTCGTCAAACCCACTGGCTCCAGGCCATCTATAAATCACTGCTAGGCAAATCCCCGCCTTATCTTAGCTCATTGGTCACCATAGCAGCACCCACCCGTAGTCTGCGCTCCAGCAGGTATATATCACTGGTCATTCCTAAAGCCAACACCTCCTTTGGCCGCCATTCCTTCCAGTTCTCTGCTGCCAATGACTGGAACGAATTGCAAAAATCTCTGAAGCTGGAGACTCTTATCTCCCTCACTAACTTTAAGCATCAGTTGTCAGAGCACCTTACCGATCACTGCACCTGTACACAGCCCATCTGAAATTAGCCCACCCAACTACCTCATCCCTATATTGTTATTTATTTTGCTCTTTTGCACCCCAGTATCTCTATTTGCACATAATCTCTTGCACATCTAGCATTCCAGTGTTAATACTAATTGTAATTATTTTGCACTATAGCCTATTTATTGCCTTACCTCCATAACTTGCTACATTTGCACACACTGTGTATATATTTTCTGTTGTATTTTTTGACTTTATGTTTTTTTTACCCCATATGTAACTCTGTGTTGTTGTTTTTATCGCACTGCTATGCTTTATCTTGGCCAGGTCGCAGTTGAAAATGAGAACTTGTTCTCAACTGGCTTACCTGGTTAAATAAAGGTGAAATAAAAAAATAAATTAAAAATACCTGTTGAGACAACACACTCCAGGTGTCAGTAAATCAACAACCTTGGCTTTATACCTGTCCAGACAACACCCTCCAGGTGGAAGTATGCACACTTTCAGTTTGTATACTAAATACAGTGATTGTCACAGTCCACCACAACATAATAATAAAAATAATTTATTAAACTTCTATAGAGCTGTTCATGATAGAAATCTCAACATACCTTATCCTGATAAGCAAGGGATGGACAGCATTACATCTCATCAAAAGTGTCCTACCCAAAGAGATAGATAGAGGACTCATCTTTATATCTGTGCCATTATCACATCTGTGACAGAATGGGGAGCACCATTGAGGCTTCAACCAGCGGAAGAGGCAAAAAGAGAGAGATAGCTGGGCCCAAAATCTGTCTTCTCCAACATTTGGCGTTTTCTTTTTTTTGTATGGAGGTAAATGAGAGTGTTGAATTTGGTTAACAAAAACATTTAATGGCTTATTTGATCTAATAGAAGTTTCGTAATGTTTAAGTTGTTACGAGTGTACTGATATAAGTAGGACATCCTGGCAACTTTGAGAAAAAATACTTTATATCTGAGTTGTGCCTGTTGTTCACACGCATATCTGCCCTCTCATTGGCTAGAATGGTCCCACCTGATCTTGCCTCCTCCCGACTGCCTTCCATTTTTTAACACATTTATTTTCATTGTTAGATTCACTTGAGATTCTGGTCAATATAATGGATAGTCTGTGCTACAACCCATAGGAATCCCCACCCAGTTGACTACTTTGACTACTTTAAAATGGCGGAAGCCCTCAATGGTGCTGCCCATGCTCAAAACAGCCTTTTGGCCACTAAAGGCCTCTATCAATCTCTATGGTCCTACCTCGCAACAGACGCTCCTCATTGGCTGTTTTAAAGTTCTTCAACGTCAGGGTTTCCGTTTCCGGTACGGTTGCTAAGTAACACTTCCTGTGCGTTGAATGTGTAGAAAAGTAAATAACGCCGAAAACATGGTGCATTAATTGGGATTATTGGTGAATCGGCAAGAATTTCCCGCGTGAAAAGTCTTACCTTTGAGAACTGTTGATGTAGCGGCAAAATCATGACAGTGACAACGATTAAAGACGGCGAATACACTGCCACTGTCTACAAAATGGTGAGAAGTTGCTCGCTTGCATAGCTAACGTTACATGCCGTGGATACTAACGCTAGCCATGATAGCTAGCTAGCTAATGAAACTGGTTATTTGAACTTGTGGTTTTCGTATAGCTAGCTAACGTTACAATACGAATTAACAAATTGGGGCTTTAACAAGCTAGTTAACTTTGATTAAGCTAGCTTGACAGGCCCTTCTATTTCAAGGCTCAGGCTATAGCGTAACGCGAGCTAACGAACTAAGCGTGTGACAACATAGCTAGCTAGATAGCTAATGTATTATTTTATAACTAGCTGCTAACTCTGTTCTCCTCCTATAGATCAAAGATGGGCGGTATGGAGAGGCCATCCACATCCTCAGCCATGAACTGCAGAAACAGATGAAGGTAGTGTGTGTGTGTGTGTGTGTGTGTGTGTGTGTGTGTGTGTGTGTGTGTGTGTTGTTCCTGTAAAGGTGACTCATTGACATCAGTGCACTGCACACACACCTTCACCTGATAGATGTATTGAACTGTTCATTCAATACGTTGTAGTTTCTAGGTAGATTGTTCCTAGTCAGTTCTGATCCACGTGCATATTTGCTATGCTGCATTTGCGAGTAGTTCATAGTCAAATCTGGCAAAGTCCACCCGACTGACACACATAATATTATTGTGATACTACAGATCTTGCTATGTTTAGAGAGGATCCCTAAGATCCACAACACACCACCATGTCTGATAACCACCCATATCTGCTTGCTCGGAGGGGTTGGGATAAAGCAGAAGACACATCCATTGGACATTCGTGTACATCACTGGCAGCCTGGTCCCAGATTTTTTACATTTGAGTCATTTTAGCAGATGCTCATATCCAGAGCGACTTACAGTTAGTGAGTGCATACATTTTTCATACTGATCTGTTGTCTCCTTCTATAGCCTGGTCCCAGATCTGTTGTCTCCTTCTATAGTCTGGTCCCAGATCTGTTGTCTCCTTCTATAGCCTTGTCCCAGATCTGTTTATGCTCTTGCCAACTCCATTGCTGTCATCACCAAGCCAATGTTTAGCATGCCAATGAGTGACAAGGGGTTGTCATGATAGCACAAACAGACTGTCCCTCAGGCTATCTCATTGGACAATACATCTAGGGCTCGATTCAATCCGTATCGGCGAAGTTCAGCGCTATAGCGTTCTTGAAAATGTAAAGGGAATTTCCGATTGAGCCGATAGAATGCAGCGTTTACCGTGAATGCAGTCTCATGGAACGCAGGAACATTTGCCTTTTTAACTGTCAATCGCCCTATAGTGCTGAACTTGTTATCCTCCTCCTCCTCCTCCTCCTCCTCCTCCCAGTCGCGGGCAGCCCTGTCTCTGCTGGGGTACTGCTACTACCACATGCAGGACTTTACCAACGCAGCAGAGTGCTATGAGCAGCTGACCCAGCTACACCCCGAGGTGGAGGAGTACAAGCTGTATTACGCCCAGTCTCTGTACGGGGCCTGTGCCTACCCCGATGCCATGAAGGCTACCTTTCTACTGGACAACCCTACCAGCCACACCAAGGTACAGTTCCTACATTCAGTTAGAATACCAAGGTAGAGTTATAATCAGTGTTTTCATTTGAGCCGGATCATGACGCGAGGATCCGGCACCTCTCAGTTTTGGACTGTTTTGTTCCGGAACCCATTTGCCAGGATCCGGTACCTCTCGTGGCATGAAACATAATTTTCACTGTTTGCAATTTAACAATTCTAATAAAAGCAAGCAGAGTTCATTCAAGTTGACTCCTCTGTAATTCTCCTGCCCCGTAAAAAAAAAAGTAATGTGAAAACGTGTCTGATATTCTAAGAATTGATTAGTGTTGCGCTGGCCCGGGTTTATGGTTTGCGCAACATTGTAGCCAATATAGACCAACGTGTGGCCATTGCTGTGGTGAGAGAGAGAAGAAAGCCTGCATCTCTCACAGGACTAGAGGGACATTCACTTTCTATGATCTCTCTCCCTCTCTCTGCTATGATAGACATGAGTCTGCAACTCTCATCTCTCCAGCGTTGCACTCATTTATTTCCTTATAGAATCATAGCAATGGGAAGGGTGCTGGAGGTACCGTAGAACCCCTGATAAATTGAAATACATTTGCCAAAGTTATAGAATTACTGCTGTCTGTTCAGAAAGAAATTAAATAATTCCGAATATTACACTAGGAGTAGGCCTATAATTTAGCCACAGAGGATCAATAGTTACTTTTTTTAAAGCCTAGCTGTGGATTATGTGTAGCCCCATCACAAGGCAACACGTGGCAAATCAGTCAGTAAACAGCATGCAGTATTTCAAATACAATCGCGGGAAAACACAGGTTGGAAAGAAAACGGATCCTGCTGAAAAGAGAAGACTATGCTGTAGGCTACCAAATACATTATCAACTTCCAAATAGGCCTATTGAGCGAACAGCATTGTTTTACAAAGTAGAACGAGAGAGAGAGAGAGGCTTTTGGCACTAGCGCATCGGCCATCACCAGTGAGTGAGCTGCATCATTGGGTGAGTCAGTGAAACTGGAAAGCTTTTTTAGGACTAATTTCCTCATATTGTACAACATAAGACTCCTGAACAGCTAATCATGGCTACCCAGACTATTTGCACTGCCCCCCCACCCCATCCTTTTTACGCTGCTGCTACCCTGTTAAGTATTTATGCATAGTCACTTTAACTCTACCCACATGTACATATTACCTCAACTACCTCAACTAGCCGGTGCCCCCGCACATTGACTCTGCAACGGTACCCCCCTGTATATATAGCCTCCCTACTGTCACTTTATTTTACTTCTGCTCTTTTTTTTCTCAACACTTTTTTGTTGTTGTTGTTGTTCTATTCTTACTTTTTTTGTTTAAAATAAATGCACTGTTGGTTAAGGGCTGTAAGTAAGCATTTCACTGTAATGTCTGCACCTGTTGTATTCGGCGCATGTGACCAATAAAATTTGATTTGATTTGATGTGTGTCTCCACACACCTAGGCCTAGGCTATTGATACAAGGTCTATCAAGACAAGGTCGTTTTTATTGATCTCAGATTCTCAGTTTGGCAATGTCATAGTAGCCTGTCATTTCAATCTTTTGTGAGGGATTAAAAAATATTCTGTTAAAGTCTCCAGTCAAAATTCTAGCAAAGTGCATAGCGCATAGAATTAAAAAGGTATTGTCGGATATTATTCATTCTAATCAGACAGGTTTTTTTACATGGAAGATACATTGGAGATAATATAAGGCAAGTATTGGAAACAATAGAACACTATGGAAAATATGGGAAACCAGGCCTGCTATTCATAGTAGACTTCGAAAAGGCATTTGATAAAGTACGACTGGGGTTTATATACAGTGGGGGAAAAAAAGTATTTAGTCAGCCACCAATTGTGCAAGTTCTCCCACTTAAAAAGATGAGAGAGGCCTGTAATTTTCATCATAGGTACACGTCAACTATGACAGACAAAATGAGGGAAAAAAATCCAGAAAATCACATTGTAGGATTTTTTATGAATTTATTTGCAAATTATGGTGGAAAATAAGTATTTGGTCAATAACAAAAGTTTCTCAATACTTTGTTATATACCCTTTGTTGGCAATGACACAGGTCAAACGTTTTCTGTAAGTCTTCACAAGGTTTTCACACACTGTTGCTGGTATTTTGGCCCATTCCTCCATGCAGATCTCCTCTAGAGCAGTGATGTTTTGGGGCTGTCGCTGGGCAACACAGACTTTCAACTCCCTCCAAAGATTTTCTATGGGGTTGACATCTGGAGACTGGCTAGGCCACTCCAGGACCTTGAAATGCTTCTTACGAAGCCACTCCTTCGTTGCCCGGGCGGTGTGTTTGGGATCATTGTCATGCTGAAAGACCCAGCCACGTTTCATCTTCAATGCCCTTGCTGATGGAAGGAGGTTTTCACTCAAAATCTCACGATACATGGCCCCATTCATTCTTTCCTTTACACGGATCAGTCGTCCTGGTCCCTTTGCAGAAAAACAGCCCCAAAGCATGATGTTTCCACCCCCATGCTTCACAGTAGGTATGGTGTTCTTTGGATGCAACTCAGCATTCTTTGTCCTCCAAACACGACGAGTTGAGTTTTTACCAAAAAGTTATATTTTGGTTTCATCTGACCATATGACATTCTCCCAATCCTCTTCTGGATCATCCAAATGCACTCTAGCAAACTTCAGACGGGCCTGGACATGTACTGGCTTAAGCAGGGGGACACGTCTGGCACTGCAGGATTTGAGTCCCTGGTGGCGTAGTGTGTTACTGATGGTAGGCTTTGTTACTTTGGTCCCAGCTCTCTGCAGGTCATTCAGTAGGTCCCCCCGTGTGGTTCTGGGATTTTTGCTCACCGTTCTTGTGATCATTTTGACCCCACGGGGTGAGATCTTGCGTGGAGCCCCAGATCGAGGGAGATTATCAGTGGTCTTGTATGTCTTCCATTTCCTAATAATTGCTCCCACAGTTGATTTCTTCAAACCAAGCTGCTTACCTATTGCAGATTCAGTCTTCCCAGCCTGGTGCAGGTCTACAATTTTGTTTCTGGTGTCTTTTGACAGCTCTTTGGTCTTGGCCATAGTGGAGTTTGGAGTGTGACTGTTTGAGGTTGTGGACAGGTGTCTTTTATACTGATAACAAGTTCAAACAGGTGCCATTAATACAGGTAACGAGTGGAGGACAGAGGAGCCTCTTAAAGAAGAAGTTACAGGTCTGTGAGAGCCAGAAATCTTGCTTGTTTGTAGGTGACCAAATACTTATTTTCCACCATAATTAGCAAATAAATTCATTAAAAATCCTACAATGTGATTTTCTGGAGAAAAAAATCTCATTGGAGAAAAAAAATTTGTCTGTCATAGTTGACGTGTACCTATAATGAAAATTACAGGCCTCTCTCATCTTTTTAAGTGGGAGAACTTGCACAATTGGTGGCTGACTAAATACTTTTTTCCCCCACTGTATAAATGCCTGGAGCATTTCAATTGTGGAGAATCTCTTATAAAATGGGTCAAAATCATGTATAGTAACCCTAGGTGTAAAATAGTAAATAATGGCTATTTCTCAGAAAGTTTTAAACTGTCAAGAGGAGTGAAACAAGGTTGTCCACTATCGGCATATCTATTTATTGTGGCCATCGAGATGTTAGCTATTAAAATCAGATCCAACAATAATATCAGAGGATTAGAAATTCAGGGCTTAAAAACAAAGGTGTCATTGTACGCTGATGATTCATGTTTTCTTTTAAATCCACAACTAGAATTCCTCCACAGCCTCATAGAGGATCTAGATACAGTGGGGAAAAAAGTATTTAGTCAGCCACCAATTGTGCAAGTTCTCCCACTTAAAAAGATGAGAGAGGCCTGTAATTTTCATCATAGGTACACGTCAACTATGACAGACAAAATGAGGGGAAAAAATCCAGAAAATCACATTGTAGGATTTTTTATGACTTTATTTGCAAATTATGGTGGAAAATAAGTATTTGGTCAATAACAAAAGTTTCTCAATACTTTGTTATATACCCTTTGTTGGCAATGACACAGGTCAAACAGTTTCTGTAAGTCTTCACAAGGTTTTCACACACTGTTGCTGCAATGTGATTTTCTGGAAAAAAAATCTCAATTTGTCTGTCATAGTTGACGTGTACCTATGATGAAAATTACAGGCCTCTCTCATTTTTTTAAGTGGGAGAACTTGCACAATTGGTGGCTGACTAAAAACTGTTTTCCCCCACTGTATATAAAAAACATGGGGGATTGGAAGTGATGCAGACAATTACATTGATAGAAGATACAATTGATACAATCTATCTGCAATATTAAGCTGATCTAAAAAAAAAAAAAAAAACAGCAGTTAGTTATAATGTTTACTACCAGCCCCACCAGGTAGAGTTATAATGTTTACTACCAGCCCCACCAGGTAGAGTTATAATGTTTACTACCAGCCCCACCAGGTAGAGTTATAATGTTTACTACCAGCCCCACCAGGTAGAGTTATAATGTTTACTACCAGCCCCACCAGGTAGAGTTATAATGTTACTACCAGCCCCACCAGGTAGAGTTATAATGTTTACTACCAGCCCCACCAGGTAGAGTTATAATGTTTACTACCAGCCCCACCAGGTAGAGTTATCCACACTGAGATATAATTATATTCTCTTGGTTCTTTTCTCTCTTCTGACCCATGTTCTGTCCATCTCTCCCACAGATGATCAAACTGCAGGCAGCCATCAAATACGGAGAAGAGGAGTACTCTGGAGCGAAGGTTAGTACAGTGAGGGAAAAAAGTATTTGATCCCCTGCTGAATTTGTACGTTTGCCCACTGACAAAGACATGATCAGTCTATAATTTTAATGGTAGGTTTCTTTGAACAGTGAGAGACAGAATAACAACAAAAAAATCCAGAAAAACGCATGTCAAAAATGTTATAAATTGATTTGCATTTTAATGAGGGAAATAAGTATTTGACCCCTCTGCAAAACATGACCTAGTACTTGGTGGCAAAACCCTTGTTGGCAATCACAGATGTCAGACGTTTCTTGTAGTTGGCCACCAGGTTTGCACACATCTCAGGAGGGATTTTGTCCCACTCCTCTTTGCAGATCTTCTCCAAGTCATTAAGGTTTCGAGGCTGACGTTTGGCAATTCGAATCTTCAGCTCCCTCCACAGATTTTCTATGGGATTAAGGTCTGGAGACTGGCTAGGCCACTCCAGGACCTTAATGTGCTTCTTCTTGAGCCACTCCTTTGTTGCCTTGGCCGTGTGTTTTGGGTCATTGTCATACTGGAATACCCATCCACAACCCATTTTCAATGCCCTGGCTGAGGGAAGGAGGTTCTCACCCAAGATTTGACGGTACATGGCCCCGTCCATCGTCCCTTTGATGTGGTGAAGTTGTCCTGTCCCCTTAGCAGAAAAACACCCCCAAAGCATAATGTTTCCACCTCCATGTTTGACGGTGGGGATGGTGTTCTTGGGGTCATAGGCAGCATTCCTCCTCCTCCAAACACGGCGAGTTGAGTTGATGCCAAAGAGCTCGATTTTGGTCTCATCTGACCACAACACTTTCACCCAGTTCTCCTCTGAATCATTCAGATGTTCATTGGCAAACTTCAGACGGGCCTGTATATGTGCTTTCTTGAGCAGGGGGACCTTGCGGGCGCTGCAGGATTTCAGTCCTTCACGGCGTAGTGTGTTACCAATTGTTTTCTTGGTGACTATGGTCCCAGCTGCCTTGAGATCATTGACAAGATCCTCCCGTGTAGTTCTGGGCTGATTCCTCACCGTTCTCATGATCATTGCAACTCCACGAGGTGAGATCTTGCATGATGCCCCAGGCCGAGGGAGATTGACAGTTCTTTTGCGTTTCTTCCATTTACGAATAATCGCACCAACTGTTGTCACCTTCTCACCAAGTTGCTTGGCGATGGTCTTGTAGCCCATTCCAGCCTTGTGTAGGTCTACAATCTTGTCCCTGACATCCTTGGAGAGCTCTTTGGTCTTGGCCATGGTGGAGAGTTTGGAATCTGATTGATTGATTGCTTTTGTGGACAGGTGTCTTTTATGCAGGTAACAAGCTGAGATTAGGAACACTCCCTTTAAGAGTGTGCTCCTAATCTCAGCTCGTTACCTGAATAAAAGACACCTGGGAGCCAGAAATCTTTCTGATTGAGAGGGGGTCAAATACTTATTTCCCTCATTAAAATACAAATCAATTTATAACATTTTTGACATGCGTTTTTCTGGATTGTTTTGTTGTTATTCTGTCTCTCACTGTTCAAATAAACCTACCATTCAAATTATAGACTGATCATTTCTTTGTCAGTGGGCAAACGCGCAAAATCAGCAGGGGATCAAATACTTTTTTCCCTCACTGTAGCTACTAGTATTGGACATATACTGGACTTGGCCATGACTAGAACCATGACTAGAACCATAACTAGAACCATGACTAGAACCAGAACTAAAGACCAAAAACATGTACCTGGTGGTTACTTTTTGCGGTCAGGAGAAATTAATATAACCCCTTGTAACCCCTTATAACTCCTTTTCTCCATGAATATGCCCTTACGACTCCCTATAACGCTTTATGACCTCTTATAACCCCTTCATGAACCCTCTCCCTGTCAGACATTGGTAGAGCAGCTTCCCCAGGACGACCCAGACTATGAGGTGGACATGGGCTGTCTACTCTACAAGGAGGGGGAGTACGAGGAGGCCTGCAAGAAGTTCATGTCTGCCATGCAGGTGCTGGGATACCAACCAGGTAACTGCACACACAAAGGAAACCTTTTGACCTTTTGGATATCCTAAAAGTCTCTTGAAAGTTGCTGAATCTCTCTCTCCCTCCTCCCTCTTCCCTCTCCTCTCTCTCCCTCCCTCCTCCCTCTCCCTGCTCCCTATCTCCCTCCTCCCTCCCTCTCTCTCTTCCTTCCTGTCTCAGACCTGTCCTACAACATAGGTCTGTGCTACTATAGCATGAAACAGTATGCTCAGGCCCTCAAATTCATCGGAGAGATCATCGAGAGAGGGATCAGGGAGCATCCAGGTAAAACGGGTCACCTGTTTAGTTAGATACCTGATCACAAGGCCAGCACACCTGTTTAGTTAGATACCTGATCATATCTCTAAAGACCAGCACACCTGTTTAGTTAGATACCTGATCATATCTCTAAAGACCAGCACACCTGTTTAGTTAGATACCTGATCATATCTCTAAAGGTCAGCACACCTGTTTAGTTAGATACCTGATCACAAGGCCAGCACACCTGTTTAGTTAGATACCTGATCACATCTCTAAAGACCAGCACACCTGTTTAGTTAGATGCCTGATCACATGTCAAAAGGTCAGCACACCTGTTTAGTTAGATACCTGATCACATCTCTAAAGGCCAGCACACCTGTTTAGTTAGATACCTGATCACATCTCTAAAGGTCAGCACACCTGTTTAGTTAGATACCTGATCACAAGGCCAGCACACCTGTTTAGTTAGATACCTGATCACATCTCTAAAGGTCAGCACACCTGTTTAGTTAGATACCTGATCACATGTCAAAAGGTCAGCACACCTGTTTAGTTAGATACCTGATCACATCTCTAAAGGCCAGCACACCTGTTTAGTTAGATACCTGATCACATGTCAAAATGTCAGCACACCTGTTTAGTTAGATACCTGATCACAAGGCTAGCACATCTGTTTAGTTAGATACCTGATCACAAGGCCAGCACACCTGTTTAGTTAGATACCTGATCACAAGGCCAGCACACCTGTTTAGTTAGATACCTGATCACAAGGCCAGCACACCTGTTTAGTTAGATACCTGATCACAAGGCCAGCACACCTGTTTAGTTAGATACCTGATCACAAGGCCAGCACACCTGTTTAGTTAGATACCTGATCACAAGGCCAGCACACCTGTTTAGTTAGGTACCTGATCACAAGGCCAGCACACCTGTTTAGTTAGATACCTGATCACATGGCCAGCACACCTGTTTAGTTAGATACCTGATCACAAGGCCAGCACACCTGTTTAGTTAGATACCTGATCACAAGGCCAGCACACCTGTTTAGTTAGATACCTGATCACAAGGCCAGCACACCTGTTTAGTTAGATACCTGATCACAAGGTCAGCACACCTGTTTAGTTAGATACCTGATCACATCTCTAAAGGTCAGCACACCTGTTTAGTTATATACCTGATCACATCTCTAAAGGCCAGCACACCTGTTTAGTTAGATACCTGATCACATTTCTAAAGGCCAGCACACCTGTTTAGTTAGATACCTGATCACATGTCAAAATGTCATCACACCTGTTTAGTTAGATACCTGATCACATCTCTAAAGGTCAGCACACCTGTTTAGTTAGATACCTGATCACATGTCAAAAGGTCAGCACACCTGTTTAGTTAGATACCTGATCACTGTGTTGTGATTTTCACTTAGTGTCCCTCCTTCTTCTCATCCATGTTTCCCCCTGACCGTCCGGTGTGTTCTCTCGTCCAGAGCTGAGCGTTGGCATGACGACAGAGGGCATCGACGTGAGAAGTGTGGGCAACACCCTGATCCTACATGAGACTGCCCTCATAGAAGGCTTCAACCTCAAGGCTGCTATAGAATACCAGCTCAAAAACTGTGAGTACACTCAGTAGCCTTGTGGTTAGAAGGTTGAGAGTTCAATCCCTGGCCGAGTCAAAATGGGACCAGATGTGTCTCTGCTTGGCTCTCAGCATTAAGGAGATAGATTGGTGTCTAAGGCCCTGCGATAGACTAGTGTCCTGTCCAGGGGGTGTACTGTACATCAAGCTGTCTCACTACAGAAACAGGAGATAGAATAGTGTCCTGTCCAGGGGGTGTACTGTACATCAAGCTGTCTCACTACAGAAACAGGAGATAGACTAGTGTCCTGTCCAGGGGGTGTACTGTACATCAAGCTGTCTCACTACAGAAACAGGAGATAGACTAGTGTCCTGTCCAGGGGGTGTACTGTACATCAAGCTGTCTCACTACAGAAACAGGAGATAGACTAGTGTCCTGTCCAGGGGGTGTACTGTACATCAAGCTGCCTCACTACAGAAACAGGAGATAGACTAGTGTCCTGTCCAGGGGGTGTACTGTACATCAAGCTGTCTCACTACAGAAACAGGAGATAGACTAGTGTCCTGTCCAGGGGGTGTACTGTACATCAAGCTGTCTCACTACAGAAACAGGAGATAGACTAGTGTCCTGTCCAGGTGACATAGTCATAGTATACCAGGCTGGCATAGAGTACCAGCTGAAAAACTGTCAGTGCTCATAGTATACCAGGCTGGCATAGAGTACCAGCTGAAAAACTGTCAGTGCTCATAGTATACCAGGCTGGCATAGAGTACCAGCTGAAAAACTGTCAGTGCTCATAGTATACCAGGCTGGCATAGAGTACCAGCTGAAAAACGGTCAGTGCTCATAGTATAACCAGGCTGGCATAGAGTACCAGCTGAAAAACTGTCAGTGCTCATAGTATACCAGGCTGGCATAGAGTACCAGCTGATAAACTGTCAGTGCTCATAGTATAACCAGGCTGGCATAGAGTACCAGCTGAAAAACTGTCAGTGCTCATAGTATACCAGGCTGGCATAGAGTACCAGCTGAAAAACTGTCAGTGCTCATAGTATACCAGGCTGGCATAGAGTACCACTGATAAACTGTCAGTGCTCATAGTATACCAGGCTGGCATAGAGTACCAGCTGAAAAACTGTCAGTGCTCATAGTATACCAGGCTGGCATAGAGTACCAGCTGATAAACTGTCAGTGCTCATAGTATACCAGGCTGGCATAGAGTACCAGCTGAAAAACTGTCAGTGCTCATAGTATACCAGGCTGGCATAGAGTACCAGCTGAAAAACTGTCAGTTGCTCATAGTATACCAGGCTGGCATAGAGTACCCAGCTGATAAACTGTCAGTGCTCATAGTATACCAGGCTGGCATAGAGTACCCAGCTGATAAACTGTCAGGTGCTCATAGTAATAACCAGGCTTGGCATAGAGTACCAGCTGATAAACTGTCAGTGCTCATAGTATACTGTCAGTGCTCATAGTAAACAGGCTGGCATAGAGTACCAGCTGATAAACTGTCAGTGCTCATAGTATACCAGGCTGGCATAGATACCAGCTGATAAATGTCAGGCTCATAGTATACCAGGCTGGCATAGAGTACCAGGCTGAAATACATGCTATAATGATCAGGCTGGCATATAGATACCAGCTGGTAAACGTCAGTGCAAAGTGATACAGGCTGCATAGAGTACCAGCTGATAAACTTCAGTGTCATAGTATACAGGCTGGCATAGTATCCAGTGATAAACTGTCAGTGATCATAGATTACCGGCTGATAGATACCAGCTGAAAAATGTCAGTGTCAAGTATACCAGGCTGCATAGAGTACCAGCTGATAAACATGTACAGTGCTCATAGTATCCAGGCTGATCCAGGCGCGTACCAGCTGATAAACTGCGTGCCAAGTTACAGGCTGGCATAGATACCAGGCTGATAAAACTGTCATAGCTCATAGTATACCAGGCTGGCATAGAGTACCAGCTGATAAACTGTCAGTGCTCATAGTATACCAGGCTGGCATAGAGTACAGCTGATAAACTGTCAGTGCTCATAGTATACAGGCTGGCATAGAGTACCAGCTGATAAAATGTCAGTGCTCATAGTATACCAGGCTGGCATAGAGTACCAGCTGATAAAACTGTCAGTGCTCATAGTATACCAGGCTGGCATAGAGTACCAGCTGATAAACTGTCAGTGCTCATAGTATACCAGGCTGGCATAGAGTAACCAGCTGATAAACTGTCAGTGCTCATAGTATACCAGGCTGGCTAGAGTAACTCAGCTGCAAACTATCAGGCTGATAGTACCAGGCTGGCATAAGAGTTCAGTGCTATAAATGCAGTGCATAGATACCAGCTGATAGAACGTCATACTGTAAGTACCAGGCTGGATAGAGTACCAGCTGATAAACTGTCAGTGCTCTAGTATACCAGGCTGGCATAGAGTACCAGCTGATAAACTGTCAGTGCTCATAGTATACCAGGCGGCATAGAGTACCAGCTGATAAACTGTCAGTGCTCATAGTATACCAGGCTGGCATAGAGTACCAGCTGATAAACTGTCAGTGCTCATAGTATACCAGGCTGGCATAGAGTACCAGCTGATAAACTGTCAGTGCTCATAGTATACCAGGCTGGCATAGAGTACCAGCTGATAAACTGTCAGTGCTCATAGTATACCAGGCTGGCATAGAGTACCAGCTGATAAACGTCAGTGCTCATAGTATACCAGGCTGGCATAGAGTTACCAGCTGATAAACTGTCAGTGCTCATAGTATACCAGGCTGGCATAGAGTACCAGCTGATAAACTGTCAGTGCTCATAGTATACCAGGCTGGCATAGAGTACCAGCTGATAAACTGTCAGTACTCATAGTATACCAGGCTGGCATAGAGTACCAGCTGAAAAACTGTCAGTGCTCATAGTATACCAGGCTGGCATAGAGTACCAGCTGATAAACTGTCAGTGCTCATAGTATACCAGGCTGGCATAAGACGTACCAGCTGATAAACTGTCAGTGCTCATGTATACCAGGCTGGCATAGAGTACAGCTGATAAACTGTCAGTGCTCATAGTATACCAGGCTGGCATAGAGTACCAGCTGATAAACGGTCAGTGCTCATAGTATACCAGGCTGGCATAGAGTACCAGCTGATAAAACTGTCAGTGCTCATAGTTACCAGGCTGGCATAGAGTACCAGGAATAAACTGTCAGTGCTCATAGTATACCAGGCTGGCATAGAGTACCAGCTGAAAAACTGTCAGTGCTCATAGTATACCAGGCTGGCATAGAGTACCAGCTGATAAACTGTCAGTGCTCATAGTATACCAGGCTGGCATAGAGTACCAGCTGATAAACTGTCAGTGCTCATAGTATACCAGGCTGGCATAGAGTACCAGCTGATAAACTGTCAGTGCTCATAGTATACCAGGCTGGACACTAGCCTAGGTACCAGAACTGTTTGTGCTATCATTCCACATAGTATACAAGGCTGCCATCGAGTACCATTATTTTACCAGAAAGGTACCATAGTTTTGCAAGTTGCAACTCTAGGTCTCACCTCTCTGTCTATCTGTCTGTCTCCAGGTGATGCAGCTCAGGAGGCCTTGACTGACATGCCGCCCAGATCAGAGGAGGTACTGTCTGTGTGTGTGTGTGTACTTGTGTGTGTCTACTTCTGTCAGCCCTACCACACATGTAGGTTGGAGACAGTGCTGCTGTAACGTATATCTCTATCTGTGGCTCAGAGGGTGCTGCCCTCTAGTGGCCATCTACATCAACACACACACACTGACGGGGATCAGGGGAACGGGAGCACTCTGTCAGACAGAAAGCTGTTGGAACGTGTGTGTGTGTGTCCTTGAGCAAGTACTAGCTCAAAAACTGTGCATGTCCATCCATGGGCGCTGCCCTGAGGCTGACCCTGGGCCTGTCAACGTGTGTGTGTGTGTCTGGGGGTGTTGGGAAAGGCACCAGAAACATTCTCCTTCTAACCAATGGACAATGAAATATCTATTGTATTCTAGGAGCTGGACCCAGTGACGCTCCACAACCAGGCCCTGATGAACATGGATAAGAAGCCATCGGAGGGTTTTGAGAAACTAGCCTTCCTCCTGCAGCAGATCCCCTTTCCCCCAGTCACCTTCGGAAACCTGCTGCTACTATACTGCAAATATGAGGTAGGGCATTCTGCTGTACTCTACTATATTATACTATACTATTATACTGTACTCTACTATATTATACTATACAATATTATACTATACTCTAATGCTGCTACTATACTGCAAACATGAGGTAGGGCATTCTGCTGTACTCTACTATATTATTATACTTATTATACTATACTATTATACTGTACTATATTATACTAATATACTGTGATATACTATTATACCTCTACTATTATAATTTACTCTACTGCTGCTGCTCTACTGCAAATACTAGGTAGGACACTCTACAGTACTCTACTATATATACTATACTATACCACTGTATATCTACTATACTCTACTACTGTATGTCTACTATACAATACAATACTACTGTATATATACTATACTACTGTATATTTACTATAATCTACTATACTATACTTTATATCTACTATACACTACTATGCTCTACTACTGTATATCTACTATACTCTACTGTACCTTAGTATACTCTACTACTGTATATTTACTATAGTCTTCTATACTATACGACTTTATATCTACTGTACTCTAGTACTGTATATTTACTATACTCTACTAGTGTATATTTACTATACACTACTATGCTATACTACTGTATATATACTCTACTGTACCTTAGTATACTACTGTATATATACTATACTCTACAACTGTATATCTACTATACTCTACTGTACCTTAGTATACTATACTACTGTATGTATACTATACTCTACTGTACCTTAGTATACTATACTCTATGTCTACTATAATATACTGTGCCTTAGCATACTCTACTACTGTATATCTAATGTACCTTAGTATACTCTACTACTGTATGTATACTATACTCTACTGTACCTTAGTATACTATACTCTATGTCTACTATAATATACTGTGCCTTAGCATTCTCTACTACTGTATATCTAATGTACCTTAGTATACTCTACTACTGTATGTATACTATACTCTACTGTACCTTAGTATACTCTACTACTGTATGTATACTATACTCTAATGTACCTTAGTATACTCTACTACTGTATGTATACTATACTCTACTGTACCTTAGTATACTATACTCTATGTCTACTATAATATACTGTGCCTTAGCATTCTTTACTACTGTATATCTAATGTACCTTAGTATACTCTACTACTGTATGTATACTATACTCTACTGTACCTTAGTATACTCTACTACTGTATGTATACTATACTCTAATGTACCTTAGTATACTCTACTACTGTATGTATACTATACTCTACTGTACCTTAGTATACTATACTCTATGTCTACTATAATATACTGTGCCTTAGCATTCTCTACTACTGTATATCTAATGTACCTTAGTATACTCTACTACTGTATGTATACTATACTCTACTGTACCTTAGTATACTCTACTACTGTATGTATACTATACTCTAATGTACCTTAGTATACTCTACTACTGTATGTATACTATACTCTACTGTACCTTAGTATACTATACTCTATGTCTACTATAATATACTGTGCCTTAGCATACTCTACTACTGTATGTATACTATACTCTACTGTACCTTAGTATACTATACTCTACTGTACCTTGGTATACTATACTCTACTGTGCCTTAGTATACTATACTACTGTATGTATACTATACTCTACTGTACCTTAGTATACTATACTCTATGTCTACTATAATATACTGTGCCTTAGCATACTCTACTACTGTATATCTAATGTACCTTAGTATACTCTACTACTGTATGTATACTACACTCTACTGTACCTTAGTATACTATACTCTATGTCTACTATAATATATTGTGCCTTAGCATACTCTACTACTGTATATCTAATGTACCTTAGTATACTCTACTACTGTATGTATACTATACTCTACTGTACCTTAGTATACTATACTCTATGTCTACTATAATATACTGTGCCTTAGCATACTCTACTACTGTATATCTACATTTACATTTACATTTTAGTCATTTAGCAGACGCTCTTATCCAGAGCGACTTACAGTTAGTGAGTGCATACATTATTTTTTTTATTTTTTAAAATACTTTTTATATCTAATGTACCTTAGTATACTCTACTACTGTATGTATACTATACTCTACTGTACCTTAGTATACTCTACTACTGTATATCTACTATACTCTACTGTACCTTAGTATACTCTACTACTGTATGTATACTATACTCTACTGTACCTTAGTATACTATACTCTATGTCTACTATAATATACTGTGCCTTAGCATACTCTACTACTGTATGTATACTATACTCTACTGTACCTTAGTATACTATACTCTACTGTACCTTAGTATACTATACTATATGTCTACTATAATATACTGTGCCTTAGCATACTATACTACTGTATGTATACTATACTCTACTGTACCTTAGTATACTATACTCTGCTGTACCTTAGTATACTATACTCTACTGTACCTTAGTATACTCTTCTACTCTATGTCTACTATAATATACTGTGCCTTAGTATACTCTACTACTGCTGATATAAACCTCCAATACAAGGTAGGTTTTCACACCACCTCCACACACATGTGAAATATAAACCATTGTTTCCATAAACAAATGCATCCCTGTTGTAAAGAAATCTTGTCAGAGGTGTTCCATGCTGTGTTCTACATTTAGTAAGCATTTAGAAGATCAACCTTTCCATCATGCGTTTTAATGAAGACCGACCGTGCTGCTGTCCTGCTGTTCTGGAGACCAAAGACTTGTTTTGCGTCCCAAATGGCACCCTGTTCCCTTTATAGTGCGCTGATTTAGACCAGAGCCCCTATATAGGGATGATATTTCCTGGTAAAAAGTAGTGCACTATAAAGGGAATAGGGTGCCATTTGGGACGCGGGCAAATTAAAATGGTGTTAATGTCTCTGCTGGACTCTCTCTCTCTCTCAGTATTTTGACCTGGCTGCTGATGTGATGGCAGAGAATGCACACCTCACCTACAAGTTCCTCACCCCGGTAAATAACACAGGTCCCTTGCCTTTCATTGTCCTTTCTTTTCATGCTACATCCCTACAGTCAGTAACTAGGGATAGTTCTCCTGTTCTTGTCACACATCCCCAATTCATTTTCTGGTCCAGTTTCTCCTGCTATGTTATTAAACCATTTATCTCTGTCCTCTCTGTGTTCCAGTATCTGTATGAGTTTCTGGACGCCATGTTGACCTGCCAGACAGCTCCAGAGGAGGTAACAAAAAAACACTCTACTACACACCATTTACACCCTGTACTCCCTACTGCCTACTAGTACTAATCACCCTATACTACCTACTCCCTACTAGTACTAATCACCCTATACTACCTACTCCCTACTAGTACTAATCACCCTATACTACCTACTCCCTACTAGTACTAATCACCCTATACTACCTACTCCCTACTAGTACTAATCACCCTATACTACCTACTCCCTACTAGTACTAATCACCCTATACTACCTACTCCCTAGTACTAATCACCCTATACTACCTACTCCCTAGTACTAATCACCCTATACTACCTACTCCCTACTAGTACTAATCACCCTATACTACCTACTCCCTAGTACTAATCACCCTATACTACCTACTCCCTAGTACTAATCACCATATACTACCTACTCCCTACTAGTACTAATCACCCTATACTACCTACTCCCTAGTACTAATCACCCTATACTACCTACTCCCTACTAGTACTAATCGCCCTATACTACCTACTCCCTACTAGTACTAGTCACCCTATACTACCTACTCCCTACTAGTACTAATCACCCTATACTACCTACTCCCTAGTACTAATCACCCTATACTACCTACTCCCTAGTACTAATCACCCTATACTACCTACTCCTACTAGTACTAATCACCCTATACTACCTACTCCCTACTAGTACTAATCACCATATACTACCTACTCCCTAGTACTAATCACCCTATACTACCTACTCCACTAAGTACTAATCACCTATACTACCTACTCCTACTAGTACTAATCACCTATACTACCTACTGCCTAGTACTAATCACCATATACTACCTACTCCCTACTAGTACTAATCACCATATACTACCTACTCCCTACTAGTACTAATCACCCTATACTACCTACTGCCTAGTACTAATCACCATATACTACCTATACTCCCTACTAGTACTAATCACCCTATACTACCTACTCCCTACTAGTACTAATCACCCTATACTACCTACTCCCTACTAGTACTAATCACCCATATACTACCTACTCCCTTACTAGTACTAATCACCCTATACTACCTACTCCCTACTAGTACTAATCGCCCTATACTACCTACTCCCTACTAGTACTAATCACCCTATACTACCTACTCCCTACTAGTACTAGTCACCCTATACTACCTACTGCCTACTAGTACTAGTCACCCTATACTACCTACTCCCTACTAGTACTAATCACCCTATACTACCTACTCCCTACTAGTACTAATCACCCTATACTACCTACTCCCTAATAATAATCACCCTATACTACCTACTCCCTAGTACTAATCACCCTATACTACCTACTCCCTACTAGTACTAATCACCCTATACTACCTACTCCCTACTAGTACTAATCACCCTATACTACCTACTCCCTAGTACTAATCACCCTATACTACCTACTCCCTACTAGTACTAATCACCCTATACTACCTACTCCCTACTAGTACTAATCACCCTATACTACCTACTCCCTACTAGTACTAATCACCCTATACTACCTACTCCCTACTAGTACTAATCACCCTATACTACCTACTCCCTACTAGTACTAATCACCCTATACTACCTACTCCCTACTAGTACTAATCACCCTATACTACCTACTCCCTACTAGTACTAATCACCCTATACTACCTACTCCCTACTAGTACTAATCACCCTATACACCTACTCCTACTAGTACTAATACCCTATACTACCTACTCCCTACTAGTACTAATCACCCTATACTACCTACTGCCTACTAGTACTAATCACCCTATACTACCTACTGCCTAGTACTAATCACCCTATAACTACCTACTCCCTACTAGTACTAATCACCTCCTATACTACCTACTTCCCTACTAGTACTAATCACCCTATACTACCTACTCCCTACTAGTACTAATCACCCTATACTCCCACTCCCTACTAGTACTAATCATCCTATACTACCTACTCCCTAGTACTAATCACCCTATACTACCTACCCCTAGTACTAATCAACCCTATACTACCTACATCCCTACTAGTACTAATCACCCTATACTACCTACCCCTACTAGTACTAATCACCTATACTACCTACCCCTACTAGTACTAATCACCCTATACTACCTACTCCCTACTAGTACTAATCACCCTATACTACCTACTCCTATAGTACTAATCACCATATACTACCTACTCCCTGGTACTAATCACCCTATACTACCTACTCCCTAGTACTAATCACCTATACTACCTACTCCCTACTAGTACTAATCACCCTATACTACCTACTCCCTACTAGTACTAATCACCCTATACTACCTACTCCCTACTAGTACTAATCACCCTATACTACCTACTCCCTAGTACTAATCACCCTATACTACCTACTCCCTAGTACTAATCACCCTATACTACCTACTTCCCTAGTACTAATCACCCTACTACTCCCTACTAGTACTAATCACACTATAACTACCCTACTCCCTAGTACTAATCACCCTATACTACCTACTCCCTACTAGTACTAATCACCCTATACTACCTACTCCCTGACTAGTACTAATCACCTATACTACTACTCCTACTAGTACTAATCACCCGTACTACCTTACCCCTAGTACTACTCACCCTATACTACCTACTCCCTAGTACTAAGCACCCTATAACTACCTAATCCCTAGTACTAATCACCCTATACTACCTACTCCCTACTAGTACTAATCACCTATACTACCTACTCCCTACTAGTACTAATCACCCTATACGACCTACTCCCTAGGTACTAATCACCCTATACTACCTACTCCTAGTACTAATCACCCTATACACCTACTCCCTACTAGTACTAATCACCCTATACTACCTACCCTACTAGTACTAATCAACCCTATACTACCTACTCCCTACTAGTATAATCACCCTAACTACCTACTCACCTAGTACTAATCACCCTATACTACCTACTCCCTAGTACTAATCACCCTATACACCTACTCCCTACTAGTACTAATCACCCTATACTACCTACTCCTACTAGTACTAATCACCCTATATACCTACTCCCTACTAGTACTAATCACCCTATACTACCTACTCCGTAGTACTAATCACCCGATACACCTACTCCCTAGTACTAATCACCCTATACTAACCTACTCCCTAGTACTAATCACCCTATACTACCTACTCCCTACTAGTACTAATCACCCTATACTACCTACTCCTACTGTACTAATCACCCATATACTACCTACTCCCTACTAGTACTAATCACCCTATACTACCTACTCCCTACTAGTTAAATCACCCTATACTACCTACTCCCTACTAGTACTAATCACCCTATACTACCTACTCCCTAGTACTAATCACCCTATACTACCTACTCCCTAGTACTAATCACCCTAGACTACCTACTCCCTACTAGTACTGATCACCCTATACTACCTACTCCCTACTAGTACTAATCACCCTATACTACCTACTCCCTACTAGTACTAATCACCCTATAACTACCTACTCCCTACTAGTACTAATCACCCTAACTACCTACTCCCTACTAGTACTAATCACCCTTATACTACCTACTGCCTACTAGTACTAATCACCCTATACTACCTACTCCCTACTAGTACTAATCACCCTATACTACCTACTGCCTAGTACTAATCACCCTATACTACCTACTCCCAACTAGTACTAATCACCCTATACTACCTACTCCCTACTAGTACTAATCACCCTATACTACCTACTCCCTACTAGTACTAATCACCCTATACTCCCCTACTCCCTACTAGTACTAATCACCCATACTACTACTGCCTAGTACTAATCACCCTAATACCTACTCCCTACTAGTACTAAGTCACCCTTACTACCTACTCCCTACTAGTACTAATCACCCTATACTACCTACTCCCTACTAGTACTAATCACCCTATACTACCTACTCCCTACTAGTACTAATCACCCTATACTAGCATCAACCTTCAGTAGCATTAAACACACCACTACTACACACATATATTTGTGTTTCATGTTTTAGCCAATGACCTGAATGTTCGAGTAATGTAATGAACCAGTCCTCTATAATACAGAGTGTTTAAAGTCCTGTGTCATTGTTGCTGCTGTTTGTTCACTCTGAGGTATATATCCCTGTCTCTGATCACGTCTCTGTTGTGTTTGACCATCGCAGGCCTTCAGGAAGTTTGATGAGATGAACGCCAAGTTGACAGATCAACTACGCAAGCTGGCCAAACAGGTTACGTTCTTCCAGTCTCCTCTCTTTCTGTCATCCTATGTTGTCTGTTTATCCTGTTATCCTGTTGATGTTGTCTGTTTATTCTGGTTCTTCGGCTGTCCCTATAGGAGAACCCTTTTTGGTTCCAGGTAGAACTTGTTGGGGTTCCATGTAGTACCCTCTGTGGAAAGGGTTCTACATGGAACTCAAAAGGGTTCTACCTGGAACCAAAAAGGGTTCTTCAAAGGGTTCTCCTATGGGGACGGCCGAAGAACCCTTTTAGGTTCTAGATAGCCCCTTTTTTTCTAAGAGTGTATTCCCTATATGGTGCACTACTTTTGAGTAGAGCCCTATGAGAATAGGGTGCCATTTGGGATGCACACTTACCTTTTCCAAGCCTTCTACAGCCCAGTCATTTTTCTGATCTGGTCACATTGGAGCTGTTGAACCTTTAATAGCTTTATATTGTTCCTCTCAGCTATCAGTCAAGTTTTCCCCTTAACTGTTCAGGATAGAGTGATAGACTATTCTGTGTTATCAGTGGTGATTTTAGCATATAAATCCTGGTGGGGCAAACTAAAAAATATATTTTTTTGTAGCATGCCAGCAAAGCCACAACACAACACTAAACAATACATTAATTGCACTATAACGGTGACAAACGGTGCCCACAAACTGTTAGGGCCTACATAAAGCAGAGTCCCAACAGCAGTCCCAACACCTTACCACTGCTACACCTGGCTATCAGCGGGGCCTTGTCTGGCAGCGAAACAGTTCATTCAGCCTCATTTACTGCCTTTAAAAAAACATAGCTGATATGGCTGACTTGCTTAAACAAATGTGGTTTCTACTGACAATTGAGATGTCCAAACTATGGCGTAAGGGGACGACGAGCGGATAAGAGGCAATCCATAATTTCGATAAAGACATTAATGAGCGAGCTAGGACGGACGTAGTCTAACTAACTTTGTTAGTGAGGCACATGGGCTACTAACAGCTTACTACACAACTTACACTTAGTATTACTTTCTTAGCTACAATATACATATCTCCCTGGCATATTACATCATTTACGCAGCAGCATACAATACATTTTTGGACTCACTTTGTTGTGCTGTGCTCACTTGAACAGGAAGGTGGCGTGGCGGTCCTTCGTGGGCAAATTTTGTCATCAACCTTTGTCAAGTCTGGCATTCTCTGGATTTATGGTGCTTTCAAGACAACCTTGAACTCTGAAAAATCAAGGTCGAATTATGACATTAGTGATCTCCAGGTCGGAGCTCTAGAAAGAGGCCCGAGTTCCTGACTTGCAATTCCGAGTTGGATGAACCGTTCAAAACATATTTTTTTCCCAATCAGAGCTAGTTTTTTTCCGAGTTCCCAGTTGTCTTGAATGTGGCAGAAGTCATGCTGGATTGACAGCATGGCCAATGTTGAATGTTTATCCTTTTAAGCTTGGAGAAGAGACCCTTAAACCCAGACTTGGACCACACACCCACTCCACTTCCAAACCACTCATTGTTGAATTTGCGATTTCCAACTTGTTGTGTAATGTTTATGTTCAATGGCCGATGAGCACCGATACGTTTTATCTATAATTTCTCTTCATATGACAAGGATTGAAAAGGATTTGGCAGTAGATTGTCGACTTGATTCATGATGATGACTGCTAGCTTGCTAGCTTAAGATTTTGAAAGTATGATGTTGACATGATCAGTCCAATCAAAGCTACAGTAGACAGAACGTGATTTGACATCATTTTATCTGTGGCCAATGACCTTGAGCCTTCTTGGATGGGCACTTCTAACGTAACTCTATGGCAGCATCCAAGGGGCTTGAATGTTTGACCTCTCTGCCCTGAATGGCGGGGCGCCACTGTGTGTTATTATTGGAGAGAACAACATGCATTCAATTGCAATAATAAAGCATCCAGTCCAAACCCTGTTTGTCCACAGTCAACTACAGGAAGCCAGGCTAGCCCGTAACCTGTGTGTAATCTTTGTCTCTAAGGTGCAGGAAGCCAGGCTAGCCCGTGATAACGAAGCCTTGAAGAAGACCCTCCAGGACTACGATGAGATGGTGGAGAAGTGAGTAGACCCTGCCCCTACTGAGTATTCTCCTGTCTGATTGGTGGCTTACCTCACCTTTCTCTTCCCTGATTGGTGGCTTACCTCACCTTTCTCTTCCCTGATTGGTGGCTTACCTCACCTACTCTGCTGGTTGGTCAGTTTGGTCCATTATTCTTCCTGATCAGTGGCTGGTCTGGCCCTTCTCCCTTTCTGATTGGCTGAATGGTACATTACCACTACTTCCATATTGGTGACTTGACCTCACCCAGGCTAAGATCTACTGGTATATAACTGTTGTCCTATCCTGTAGGTACATCCCAGTGCTGATGACCCAGGCTAAGATCTACAGGTATATAACTGTTGTCCTATCCTGTAGGTACATCCCAGTGCTGATGGCCCTGGCTAAGATCTACTGGTATATAACTGTTGTCCTATCCTGTAGGTACATCCCAGTGCTGATGACCCAGGCTAAGATCTACAGGTATATAACTGTTGTCCTATCCTGTAGGTACATCCCAGTGCTGATGGCCCAGGCTAAGATCTATTGGTATATAACTGTTGTCCTATCCTGTAGGTACAGTACCAGTCAAACGTTTGGACACACCTACTCATTCCAGGGTTTTTCTTTATTTTTACTATTTTTTACATTGAAGAATAATAGTGAAGACATCAAAACTATGAAATAACACATATGGAGTCATGTAGTAACCAAAAAAGTGTTCAACAAATCAAAATATATTGTATATTTGAGATTCTTCAAATAGACATCCTTTGCTTTGATGACAGCTTTGCACACTATTGGCATTCTCTCAACCAGCTTCATGAGGTAGTCACCTGGAATGCATTTTAATTAACAGGTGTGCCTTCTTAAAAGTTAATTTGTGGAATTTCTTTCCTTCTTAATGCGTTTGAGCCAATCAGTTGTGTTGTGACAAGTTAGGGGGGGTATACAGAAGATAGCCCTATTTGGTAAAAGACCAAGTCCATATTATGGCAAGAACAGCTCAAATAAGCAAAGAGAAACGACAGTCCATCATTACTTTAAGACATGAAGGTCAGTCAATCCAGAAAATGTAAAGAACTTTGAAAGTTTCTTCAAGTGCAGTCGCAAAAACCATCAAGTGTTATGATGAAACTGGCTCTCATGAGGACCGCCACAGGAATGGAAGATCCAGAGTTACCTCTGCTGCAGAGGATAAGTTCATTAGAGTTAACTGCACCTCAGATTGCAGCCCAAATAAATGCTTCACAGAGTTCAAGTAACAGACACATCTCAACATCAACTGTTCAGAGGAGACTGCGTGAATCAGGCCTTCATGGTCAAATTGCTGCAAAGAAACCACTACTAAAGGACATCAATAAGAAGAAAAGACTTGCTTGGGCCAAGAAACACGAGCAATGGACATTAGACTGGTGGAAGTGTGTCCTTTGGTCTGGAGTCCAAATTTGAGATTTTTGGTTCCAACCGCCATGTCTTTGTGAGATGTGGTGTGGGTGAACGGATGATCTCTGCATGTGTATTTCCCACCGTAAAGCATGGAGGAGGAGGTGTTATGGTGTGGGGGTGCTTTGCTGGTGACACTGTCTGTGATTTATTTAGAATTCAAGGCACACTTAACCAGCATGGCTACCACAGCATTCTGCAGCAATACGCCATCCCATCTGGTTTGGGCTTAGTGGGACTATCATTTGTTTTTCAACAGGACAATGACCCAACACACCTCCAGGCTGTGTAAGGGCTATTTGACCAAGAAGGAGAGTGATGGAGTGCTGCATCAGATGACCTGGCCTCCACAATCACCCGACCTCAACCCAATTGAGATGGACCGCAGAATGAAGGAAAAGCAGCCAACAAGTGCTCAGCATATGTGGGAACTCCTTCAAGACTGTTGGAAAAGCATTCCAGGTGAAGCTGGTTGAAGGAATGCCAAGAGTGTGCAAAGCTGTCATCAAGGCAAAGGGTGGCTACTTTGAAGAATCTAAAATGTAAAATATATTTTGATTTGTTTAACACTTTTTTGGTTACTACATGATTCCATATGTGTTATTTCATAGTTTTAATGTCTTCACTATTATTCTACAATGTAGAAAATAGTACAAATAAAGAAAAACCCTTGAATGATTAGCTGTGTCCAAACCGTTGACTGGTACTGTACATCCTAGTGCTGATGATCATCTACTGGTATATAACTGTTGTCCTATCCTGTAGGTACATCCCAGTGCTGATGGCCCTGGCTAAGATCTACTGGTATATAACTGTTGTCCTATCCTGTAGGTACATCCCAGTGCTGATGGCCCAGGCTAAGATCTACTGGTATGTAACTGTTGTCCTATCCTGTAGGTACATCCCAGTGCTGATGGCCCAGGCTAAGATCTACTGGAACAGGGAGAACTACCAGATGGTTGAGAAGATCTTCCGTAAGTCGGTGGAGTTCTGTAACGAACACGACACCTGGAAGCTCAACGTGGCTCACGTGCTCTTCATGCAGGAGAACAAGTACAAGGAGGCCATTGGCTTCTACGAACCCATCGTTAAGAAACACTACGACAACGTGAGTTAACTAGAGAGGGAGGGGAGATTGGGGGAGGAGGAAGGAGGGAGGGATCACATACAATACCATTTGAATGTGCACGGCCCGCCTTAGATGGTTCTGTTCAGAAAGCCTCTGTAGTGGACTACTGTTGACCATAGCCGTATAGACTACAGGAGAATAGGAGGTGTTGAAATGAAACATGTCTCTGTTCCCCTTCCCCCTGCTGGCTACATAGCTGGAACAGTGTAGCATACAGGAGTGTCCCTGCCAACGTAAACCCTCGGTAACACACACACACACACCCACGCCCCTGTACCCCAGTCTCACCACTGGTGGCAGAGGGAAGTGACTCTGAATGCAGTGGTCAGTCTCACACCTGGACTAAGTCCCAAATGGTACCCTATTCCCTACAAAGTGCACTACTTTCCATAGTACTCTGGTCAAAGGTAGTGCACTATGTAGGGAATAGGGTGCCATTGGGGACTCTCAGATTGCTGTGTCTCATCTCTGCATGATACGTTAGTGTTTCTGGAGTGATGAAGTGTTGAATATCCACAGTTTTACCAACGCAGGTTTGCCCTTCTTCTGACTGATCTCTGTCTCTCTCTCTGTCTCTCTCTCTCTTTCTCTGTCTCTCTCTTTCCATCTCTCTCTGTCTCTTTCTCTGTCTGTCTGTCTGTCTGTCTGTCTGTCTGTCCTGTCTGTCTCTCTCTGTCTCTCTCTCTCTGTCTCTCTGTCTCTCTGTCTCTGTCTCTGTCTCCTCTCTCTCTCTCTCTCCTCTCTCTCTCTTCTGTCTCTCTCCTCTCTCTGTCTCTTTCTCTCTGTCTTCTCTCCCCTTCTCTTCTCCTCTTCTTTTCCCTCTTTCCTCTTTCTCTCTCTCTCTCTCCTCTCTCTCTCTTTTCTCTTCTCTCTCCTTCTCAGTTCCTCACCTCCCTCTTTCAATACTCCGCTCCTCCTCCAATTCCTCGTCGTGGCTCTCCTCCACTCTCGCCTCCCAGTCCCTTTCCTCTCCCCCCTTTCCTCCCCAATTGTGAGTTTCCCGTGTCCTACCTGGGGGCTCTCATCACACCCTAGGATCTTCCTGGTTTCACCTGTGGGGTTGAGTTTTAAATTCTCTCACTCTCCTCTTTTTTCCTCTTGCTGTTTTTCTCCCTTTTTCCGCTAACTTTTTGGCCCTTTTGAAAAATGATATGGCTTTTTCCTTTAATGTAACTTCCTAAGTTTCCTTACCGTTCTTTGCAAACTGTTAATAGGAGTTGGGCTCTTACACCTGTTAAAGAAAAGTTCAGCTTTTTGGGGAATTACTTCCAACGTGTTTACCCCACCTTTTGGGGCAAAATGCATTGAAAGTTTTAGGAGCTTTGGGGCAAATGCTTGAAAATTAGGGAGCTTTTGGGGAAATGCATTGAAGTTTTTAGGGGCTTTGGGCAAATGCATTCAAAGTAGGACTTTGGGCAAATGCATTCAAGTGTAGGGGGCTTTGGGCAAAATGCATTGAAATATAGGAGCTTTGGGGCAAAAAGGCATTGAAAATGTAGGGAGCTTTGGGCAAATGCATTGAAAGTGTAGGGAGCTTTGGGCAAATGCATTTAAAGTGTAGGGAGTTTTCAATCCTTGACCCTTTTGGCACTTCAATCTGTTAAGGGGCTTGGAATGTTATTAAGTGTAAGGGACTTTTGGGGCAAAAATGCATTGAAAGTTTAACCCTTTGGGGGAAAGCATTGAAAGTGTAGGTCTTTTGGGGAAAATGCTTGAAAAGTTGTAGATTTTTAACTCCTGTGGATGATTTATAGGGTTTTCCCCCTATTGTTTTAAAAGGACACACTGGTTAATTGGCAGGTACAGGTTTTACAGTGTGTTATGGAATAAAAGTGTTTTCATTTTTTAGCCGGGTTTTTAATAGTTTTATCCCTTCCAGGACCCTTAATTCTTAAAGTTGGGTTATAATACTTTTCTTTTGGGGAAAGTAGGCTTATAGGGAAAATGTTTTCCCTCCTGTTGGGCTTAAAGTGTTTATATGTCCTTCAGACCCACGTGCCAAGAACATACTCGTATCACCCGTGGGCATTCAAATCTGACCGGTAACCCCCAGAAGTGGACACTTTTTTAATGGTGTTTTTGATTTTCTACACCTCCAAAATACCCTGGGCCTACTGTGGGGGCGGTTTAGTGCATACCTTTTTGTTTTAAAGTCAACCCCCTTTGGGAATAGGGTCCATTTGGACACACGTTCCAAGGTTTGGTCTATGTTTAAATATCGGGCAAACCAAAGAATGGAAACCCTTTCGGCCTTTTTCCCCTTCCCAACCCCCACCACACAGGGGCCCTTTAGGGGTTTTGTTTTAAATTCCATATACCGGTATTCCTCCATAATCTCCTCTGCCCTTTCTCTTTTGCCCTTCATTGTGCCCCTCGTCTCCATCTATTTCTTACCTGTTAACTGGTTTCAACGGTTTTCACCCAGTAACAAGTTGTCATCACCCCAGGTTGGGAAACTCTACCGTACTTTCCCACTTTCAGCCAGTTTTCCAAATCTGTTGATGATTCCGAATCAGGGCGATTAGACACCACTCCCAAATCTGTCTAGAACCAGGCATCAGGACAAACCCTTGCTTTGTTGCTTACGGAGTTTGGCACCCTACCCAGTCTCCCTGTATGGTTTCCTCCGTTCTCCTGGAAAACCCTGTTCTGCTAGCGCTTCTTCCTGCTCTGCTGGCTAACATCTCCAACACATTCTCGGCCCTACTCCGTTCATTTCTTCTGACCTCAAGGTACGGCCCAACTCACACACACCATACAGACCCCGCAGACACCCACCACCCCAACACTCCCACGTTTAACACAACCATTACCCTCCCCATTCTTACCCTTCGTTTCGTCCTCCCCTCTCCCCCTCTCCCCCTCTCCCCCCTCTCTCTCCCCTCTCCCTCTCCCCACCTCTCCCCTCCTCTCCCCTTCCCTCCTTCCCTGCTCCGCCCCCGCTCTACCCCTCCTCTCGCTCCCCCCCTCCCTCCCTCGCCTCCCCCCTCTCCTCCCCTCTTCCTCCCTCGCCTCTCCCTCCTCGCTCCCCTCTCCTCCCCTCTCTCCCCTCCCTCTCTCGCCCTCTCCCCTCCTCCCCTTCCCTCTCTCCCCCTCTCCCCCCACTCCTCTACTCCCCCTCCCTCTCCGCTCCCCGCCACTCCCTACCCTCCCCCCTCACTCTCTCGTCCTCCCCCCCTCTCCTCCGCTCTCCTCCCCTCTCTTCCATCACTCTCTCACCCCCCTTCTCTCCCCTCTCTCCTCCCCCCCTCTCCTATCTATACCTCTCACCCTCCCCACCTCCCTCTCCCACTTCTCCCCCTCCCCGTTTCTCCCCCCTCCCTCGTCCCCCCTTCTCCCCCCACCCCCTCCCGTCCTCCCTCATCCCACGCAGCTCTCCTCGCCTCCTCCGGCCCGCCGCTCAGACCCTCCCTCCTGCTCTGCCCCGCCTGCCCTCTCTCCCCTCTCCCCGCCCGCTCTCTCCCCCCTCCCTCTCCCAATCCCTCCCCTCCCTCCCATCTCTCCCCCCTTCCCTCTCTCCCACGCTCCTACCCCCCCGAAGGCATCCTACTCTGCATCCTCCCCTCTACCTCTCCGTCTACATCACGCATCTCACAATGCGCCCCAATCCTCCACTCCTACGTAGCCTCCCCTCCCTCTCCTTCTCATCCCCACCTCCTTCATCCTCTCTCACTCCCTCGCCGTCTCTCACCCTCCCTCTCCTTTCGACTCCCCTCCCCTCCCTCCCTCGATCCCTCTCTCCCCCTCCACCCTCCCTCCTCCCCTCCTCCCCCGCTCCCTCTCTCCCAATAGTGTATGGTAAGACAGAGCCAGCCATGATAGAACAGCCACTGGAGGAGGACAGGATGCACATAGGAAAGAACACCGTCACCTACGAGTCTCGCCTGCTCAAAGCACTCTTCTACGAGGTCATCGGATGGAACCAGTGATGTCATACTAGAACAGAACGGAGCCTGTGATGTCATCGCACGGAACCCAGTGATGTCATCGGACGTAACCAGTAGTCTACGCTAAAGACTTTAAAAACCTTTTTTACTCCCCCACCAGTTCAAATCTATCAACATGGACCACATCACATTAGTTATTATAGTACTGCCCCCACCAGTTCAAATCTATCAACATGGACCACATCACATTAGTTATTATAGTACTGCCCCCACCAGTTCAAATCTATCAACATGGACCACATCACATTAGTTATTATAGTACTGCCCACTGCATCAGATGAAAGTTACAAGCTGTTGTTCTGATGCTGTTGAGCATATTCTAGACTCACTCCTCGTCTCTCACACACACACACACACACACACACACACACACACACACACACACATACATACACACACACACACACACACACACACACACACTCACGTAGTGGGAGAACCCATGGGGCCTCATCAATTTGACCATCTTTAGTTTAGTTGGGCCCAGAGAACTGTTGACAGACTGAGAAAAACACCTTCCTACAGATATTATTATTATTATTACACTAAACAAAAATATAAATGGAAGATGCAACTATTTCAAAGATTTTACTGAGTTACAGTTCATATAAGGAAATCAGTCAATTGAAATAAATTCATTAGGCCCTGATCTATGGATTTCACATGACTGGGAATACAGATATGCATCTGTTGGTCACAGATACCTTTTTTTTTTTTTTTTAAAGGTAGGGGCGTGGATCAGTCAGTATCTGCGCGACACATCTCCTTCACATAGAGTTGATCAGGCTGTTGATTGTGGCCTGTGGAATGTTGGGATATGAGGCCTTGCATTATCATGCTGAAACATGAGGTGATGGCGGCGGATGAATGGCACGACAATGGGCCTCAGGATCTCCTCATGGTATCTCTGTGCATTCAAATTGCCATCGATAAAATGCAATTATGTTCTTTGTCCGTAGCTTATGCCTGCCCATACCATAACCCAACCGCCACCATGGGGCACTCTGTTCACAACGTTGACATCAGCAAACCGCTTGACCA